CAGCAGACAGGCAGAGATATCCATATTCTGGGAATGACACCATACACCTGAGGTTTGAAGTTCTTGTTAACTAAATCACTTAATTAAACAGTATAACTCTTCCTGAAGGAGCTCAGAGTCCAGAAAAACTACATAAGTTTCCAGTTTGCTGTTTTCAAAGCATCAGAACAGCAAATAATAATATTGTTTATGATATAGTTGTTAAGACAGTACAAAAGAAAGTAATTGTTAAATGACATTTCTGAATTTCATATCAGAATGTTGCATTCCTTGCCTTATTTTAGAACATTTAAACACCTTGGCCATTGCATTCCATTTAAATCAGATTTTGAATGATAGAGTTGAAAAGCCACCAAATCACAAATGTGTTTGTCTTTCTTTTAATATGATTTCAGTCACTGAGAATGATGATTGTTTTTTTAAATCAGTAAAAATTAGATGAGTTCCGATTAAGCCTAGCAAAAGTTATTAGAAATTAAGTAGAAATTAAGACTAGATGGGGTTGGAGGACTGTCAGCATTTCATACCCTTTCTGTTCACATCACATCGTAATCATATAATAACCCCTCTGGTGGGAGCCTCTGGAATGCTGATATCAAACCCTGTAGTTTAAAAGCATTCAAATGGGATTATGTGCTTTTAAATGGCATTAACTGCCATTATGAGTAATGGCTCAGCTGATTAAATAGTGTGGATACATGATATTAGGGCATCACACTTGAATTTTCATGTTTTCTTGTAGTTTTCAAGGAAAAATATTTTCAAACAATGCAAAAGCAACTCAGTTCTTTCCTCCTGAAAGCCCTGCTCACAGTAGTCAAAATCCACTGTGATTTAGTGAAAAACACAGTGGTGAATCCACAACAATCTAAAATTAATTAAAAAAAAGCCTCAATCTTTATTCACTTTCTGGGGAGAAAGAGTTATAACCAATAAACATTTATATTATTTGGGATTTGTCTCTGGAATCTGCTTGTCTGTTCTTGCCCTTACAGCCTCTAAAGCTCAGAATCACAGCTGATTTTCTCTCGATAAAGATAGTTACATAAACGTCTCTTCAGGGACCGGGAATTCTGCCCCCAGTGTACTGCAGCCTGGGGAGAAGGGCACTTCTTTTAGTGTAAGGCTGTTCACATGTTCAAATAGGAGAAGTAACCCAGATTAGCTGCAAATCTGGATGTCCATGTGACAAGATGCCTTCTGTAGACTGCTAGAGCCTGCTCAAGACTCTCTTCTCTCATCGTGTCGTGCTTAATCGATGGCAAAGTTAATTGTTCATTGAGAACTTAACCCTGAGAAAAGGTGTAGCTGTAACAAACCCTACCCGGGGGACTCCGCATTGCGCTTCCTTTGTCCCCCCAGGCTGCTGTGGTTGGTTCCACAGTGGTTTCATACCAGCGTCTTCCAGAGGTGGATCCTCCTCTGGGAGAGGAGGTCTCTAGCCTTGTAGCAAAAGGGAATCCTCTTCTATTTTCGTACACTACTCAAGGGATGCAAGTTTAAAGCTTCACTGATTGCAAATGAGGGGGCACCTGAGGCCCTGTCCATGTCTTTCGAAAAATGATGTTGTCTGGCAATGTACTGAAGGTTCTCTATTCATACACAAGTCAACAGAGGTTGAAAGTGTTTGAGAGCACTGACCTTTGTAACACACTAGGCCAACTTCTATTGTCCAACCTGAGAGGTATGTGCTCGGGAGATTTGTTGTTTCTGAATGTTCTCTGGAATTTTTGAACACAGTTTTGTTTGACCTTATTGGTACTACAGCAGTATAAATACACCTCTTTTAAATAAAGCATTTTTCTTAGCCTTGAGCTGAAAATACTCTATAACAGAAAATTCTCAGTGATACAATAAGAGATAAATTGAGATCCAAGCTATCAAGTGCAAATTCCTGAGAAACTTCATTTACTACTTGTAAATCTATAAATCACTAAATCTGATCTGTCAGAAGTAATGGGGAGCTATGCATGATAAGAGCAGAAGGTCAAGGCAGAACAGAATCATCATGCAGCAGCAGCCTTGAGTTCTACAATTAGCAAAGGATCTCAGGAAAATGTTACCCAGTGACAGACTCAACTGAAGAAAATGTTAGAGAGTTCAGAGCTCAGGGTTGCTAATTCTTGACTGGCAGGAGGCATTTTAAAACAGGGGCAGAATCAAAACAAGGGGTTTCAGCCCAATTGAAATTAATACATTGTGTGTGGAAAGATTTTTTTCATAAAACAGGAGGGTCATTTCTGACATGTGTTATACCTTATAGAAACTTTCAAATCATGTCAACCCAATCTCTATAATTGGTTGCTAGACTGAATCTTAATGTCAAGCAAATTCAGTGCCATACACCCAGCAACTCCCTCTCAATAACAAATTAAGCTTGCAAAACACACCTTAATTTTCCTCCCAATTTCCTTCATCTTAGCATCTTAGGAGTCAGTTTTTCATTCATGCTACCTTTTCTGTATCTTTTCATGCTACCTTTTCTGTATCTTTTCATGCTAATCATTATCTCCTTCTCCTCCAGTGAATGAATCTATTGAAAATCTCCCATTTTCTTGAGCTCAAGACTGAGTTTCTCACAGATGATCTTGAATCTGGTGATGCTATCTGAGAGTCTATTATTTGTTATGTAGAGCATATCTGAACAACATTTTTATCTATAAATCCAGACTTGCTCTGAATGCAAAGGAAACCACTGACACCACAAAAATATTCAGTAAAGTTTGTAAAAAAAAAAATATTAAAAAATAAAGTTACTTGGCTGTCATCCACCACAGTGTGAAGGGACCAGTTGTGGCTGTAGCACGAGACATGTAAATCAGCAGAGACTTTTAGAGTAGCTCAGATTCTGCTGGTGCTGGAGGCTTCCAGGCCTGCCTACTCACTTGTCTGACATTTTCTCATGCAGTTTCTTGGAAAGGGTATGGACATCAAGGCTTGTACCCTCTTTTGGGTGCTGCTTTACCCTACAGTATCCTGTTTATTTCAAGTTGAATGTGTAGATATCAAAATCTCTGTAGTGTTCAGGAACTAGCTTGGTTTTTTAGCTCCTCAATACCCTGTTAGTCCACCCACTATATGCACTCAGGACTCTATTCTCTGGTATTTTTATCTATAGATATAAATCACAGCTACTATCTGTATTTTACTATTTGCAGTTACTGGCATGTATGTTGTAGCTAATTCCTTAATTAAACCTGTGATTTGCATAGTCGTTTGCCTTGTGTTGGAGTTGTCTCAGAGGCTTCCACAATAGTAATAACTAACCACTAATCTGTGAAAACTGCTGAGTTAAAATACACCCAGGTTAATAACTGTTTGTGGAGAGGAGGAAAATTCAATTCACATATGCCAGGTTGTGTATTTCTACTACTGAGTTTTCCTGGGAATGTCCCCATCATTGTCCTGCAAATCTTTGTAGTTGCAGCACTTTAAATGCAGATTGATTCGAATTCATTTACTGATGTTGACAGATTGATGAAGACAGATTTTTGATTCTCTGAGTCTCTGCCTTTACTCAAGCAAAACTCCTATTAATCTTGAGAAGTTAGAGACTGTGTAAACATGCAAAAATGCTAGGAGGAGGATGAAAATGAACAGAACCCTTTAATTGGCTGTTAATTGTTGTTTGAAGTATCCATTTACATATCTGAACCATTATCAGAAAGGTGTCACTTGTAAACAGACAGATAATGGGTACCCCAGCTTAACCAATGTCTTTTGTTTCATTTGCAAAAGGAGGGTTGTTGGGTTATCTCAGTTACAGAGTAGCTCTCCATTACTAAATACTCATTATTTTTAATGTAGGTCTCTGTCTAAAAGGTCTTTACCTTGAAAAGAGCATTTTTGCCGCAGCTCCCCTCTCTCTTCCCCCTCTTTCTCAATCAAACACAACTCAGCTTGCTCGCCAGGCAAACGCCTCTCCCTTTCCAGGCCTAACTTTGATGTTGCACACTCCTGAGTCAGAAGAGTTAAAGGTCCGTATTGCTGATTTTGGTATCCATTCGTGTTTAGTTTGTTATTTTTTTTAAAGGCTGGTACTAGGACCTTGGCTGCTTCTGCAAACGATGAGCCCATGGCATTGAGCGTGGATGTGAAAGCCTCATGTGTCTTTGAATACTCAGTGGATCTAATTAACAGGTAGAATCGCACCCTGGGTGCTTGAAGAATTGCCAGACACCATAGAAACGAGTCCTTAAGTCCCCGCACCATCTGCACTTTCTTTTCATTGTGGGAGTCTCATTGAAACATGTTTTTCGACCATTCTAAATTCATTTGTGCGTTAATGGAAAATTCCTGC